TTTTACGATCGCCCAATAAGAGATGACAAGCCTGATAGAAACGCGTACGTGAACTCGTGTATTTGCGCAAGGGAAAAGCAGGAGAAAAAGACAAAGAGAGTGGCTGCGTGTGAATGCAAAACGTATGAATAAAAAAAAAAAATTATATAAGCCTGTATGTGCGAGATTAAAGCGAGAATTCACTTCCATTAACGGAGAACTGACCAAAATGTCGACGACGGTGCCGTGATACGTGTCGACGATCATTTATGTCGAAAGATAGACAACACCAAAAAGAAAAACGCGAAAAAAAGAAACGGAACGGAGGAAGGAGGGAGGGGGAGAGAAGGAAGCAGAGAGAGACGGAGAGGCGAGACGGTGAATTCGTTGGGAGACGCAAGATGCATTCGCGAGCGTGATTAGATCGGCCGACACGTTGACTGCCGATTCGCGAATATCAATTGATTTCTTTGCAATATGAGCGATCGGCGAATACAAGAGGTAAGAGATAAAACAGCGATCGGCGGTCAAAGTGTCGCGACCGCTGCTTGAAATCGATATAGCTTCAACGTGGCTCGATTTCGTAGGCATGCAAGAACCGAGCTGCAGCATCCTCGAAATCCGGAGGAATGAAATCTGCTTCTTCGTGGCTACGAGATTGTGTCGAACTTGTCGAAATTCTTCTATGATTTCGAGTCCTTCGGTCGAAGGGAAAAAGGGATCACCGATCCTTCGGTCGGGATGCACGACCGCGTGTGCGTATTCAGGCGCGTGTATGGCGTACGTGTATGATTGTACACGCGCGTTTTTTTGTCCATTTCTACACGTATATCTGTTCTCTCCTACGACGATAGAAGGTTATTTTTAAATTTTCGAAACTTAGCTGTGCCGCAAGCGTGCGAGTGTCAGTACGATCGGATGTCAGTAGGAATCCTGAAATATAAATAGACGATTGAAGTGGACCGCACCACGGGCTTTTCTTTCGTGTGTGACCGACGATTCTGAATTCCCTCCTCATCCTTCCCACGCACAGCATCCACAGATGTTATCTGTTTATCGTGCGATTATCTTGTATACATATAATACACTAATGTGCTCTACTCCAAGAAAGATACTGGAGGACGTATCTTTTTTAAACGTATGACAAAAATCTTATTTCTTCTTTTTAACACTAGAACTGCGATCTGATCATTTCTATTTCTTAAAATAATATCTCTTTCTTGCGTATTAAAAATGTAATTTTCGAATTTTTTAACTTTTCATCAATCTCTTTCTCTTTATTCTGATGGAACATTAAAATCAGAAAATTTTTAAATCTAATCTTTAATACTTTTAATAAAAAAAATATATTAATTGAAAAAGATAGAAATGATAAAAAATAGTGTTAAAAATTTTGATATTTAAAAGGTATAAGGTTTAAAGGTATAAATTATGATTCTATTAAAAATACAAGTAAGATAAGACAGCGCAAGAAAAATTTGCTGATTGTAATTATATTGCGACAAGTCATTAAATTAGTTACGTAACTTTTTGAATTTCATGGCAATTCATTCGGCAATTTGAATCCGGTTTCGTCCAGACAAAAGACGCCGAACTGGAGTAAAACTACCCTTCCTTTGTTCGCCTGTAGCAACCCCAAGGAGCCAAGAAGCCAATAAAATTTATGTTACAGTCAAGTCAAACTATGCTCAATAGTCGAATTTCTGAAAAAAATAATTTTATTCGTGGTTCGTCTATCATAAACATTTTCGAAGAATTAAATAAACATAAAATTACATAACACGATATTACAGTTTGTAAAGACATTCTAGGAGAACTGAAACTTGTAACTCATTAAATCGGTATCGTTAAAGTGGATACGTTAATTTAACGAGCTGGCTCATTAAGTTTCTCAATTTTCAAGAAATGTTTTCACGAAATATGAGTTTGCAAAACGAAGAACTAGGAATCAACAAGAAGTAAGTTCAGAGCACAACTTTTAAGCGTGATTGGTGATTTTATTTATTAGCACATTCATTAAACATTATTATTTATTAAGCATTATTTTATTGTAGTAATTTATTAGTCACACATTACATAAATGTTTATTAAACACCTAAAATGGTATATTAATGTTTTATGCAAAATTTTAAATGGTTAGAAATCGAAAAAATATTTTTCTTTTATCTAACAAGATCAAATGTTTGACATAAAAAATTTCAAGTATTAAATTAAAAATTTTTTAATTTAATGTGCTGTTGAATGTTTATTGGTGTACGTATGTATAACATTTAAAATTTTAATGTATAAATATAAATATTATTAATTATTATATAAGAATTAAATTATAAATTTCGTCTTCCGCATATATTAAAAGAATAAGAAATAAAAATATAAGAAATAGAAATTTTATATAAATATGCATCAGTTAATAATCAACATTTTTATTTAAATAAGTTTAACAGGAATTACAAAAATGTTGTATCAAATACATATATTTTATATACATAAGCATGAGTGAAATGCTATTCGTTCATTTCCGATGAGTCATTCACTTCTGCATAAAAAGCATGATCAGTACGATATAAAAGCAACACACGTTTTAGATTTATCTTCATAGAAGAATATTCCAGTGCCTATCACTAAAATAATTGGAATTACTTTATTCATATAAGTACGATCACAACAACCGCATATAACTAAAATATCTAAAGTTTTATAAATACAGCGAAAGGATCGCAAAGTCTATTTTCTCTGATAAAAAAACAAAGCACATAAAAAATGTGGAACTTTCTAATTGTGATTGTTGATGTGATACTGAGCGAACTATTATTTATGTTATATACTACAGAATTAATCAAGAGAAATTCTTGCTAATTGAGAGATAATTGGACTAATGATAACAAAAAATGATCATATCTTTGATTAATTATTAAAATTGAATTTTAATTTAACAATGAAATAAATAATAGGTTACGAACCACGTTGTTTATTGCTAGAATTTTTTTATTTTACATTGAATTTACTTATGAAGAATAAACATTTTGGCTTAAGAATAATAAAAATACACATGAACATATTGAAATCTTTGCTATATATTATAAATATTAATTATAAATACATATACTTTATTTAATGAAGCTTATCTAATTTAGGTCAAAACATTTTTAAATTAATGTAAAATACTTCTTAACTAACTAACTTATAGCTTATAATGTTTGTTTCTCTATTTGATTTTAACCTTTGATTCTCGATTTTTACTTTTGTATTTATTTTGAATTGTAATTAACCTTTATTTTATCATTTCAATTAACATTTTACTTTTACAAATTTTTTCGGAAAATTAATTATCTGATCTCTCTGATCTGAGCAAATTCGTAGCTTTAGAACTGAAATTCATTAGCATGAAGATACGAGAAGTTTCGGAATTAATTAAGCCATAGCAATCGCGAAAGTTTGTCGCAAGAGAATGTCATTGTCATTAGGCAGATAGGTAGATGCTTTGTAACATAAAATAGGAATACCGTTAATGCCCCAAAAACGTGATCTCTTTCTTTTACCTTTCACCGTTTACCTCGATGATCGAATTATCGATCGCGTTGATATCTCGTAAATAGAGCGAGCTGAAAACCGTCAAGGTGTATCTTCTCACTCAACATTCAAAGAGATTCACACAAACATCTGACACAAGAATCGACATTGCAGTTCCTTCTCTTTATTTTTTCTTCTACTTTAGATAAAATAAAATTTAAAAGGATCTGTTCCTTCCTCCCCCCCCCTCTCTCCTCTTCCCGTTCTCTCTCTTTCTTGTGCTCCCGATAAACGAAAATTTCTAAAATGCAACTATATTGTTTAAGCTTCATTAAAGATGAAAAGTGCAATTATAATGCAATAATGTATTAATAGATAATCGTTCGAAATGAATTTTTCTATGCTTCTCCCGACTTTCTATTAGACTTTCAAATTAACAAGAATTTGCTAAGTCAGTTTTAAAACAATTTACTAACGTTAAGATTCGAAAACAAGTCCCAACCTTTGCAATTCGTTTCGCGTATTTGGAAAATGACACGAAAACGTAACAAAACGAAACAAATAACGGCAATGACAATAATTCGTAATTTTATTTATAATTAACAATAAGTTCGCATTTATTTCTAGTTTAAAACATAAACGATATTAATCACTTGAACTTACAGTTTTTAGCATAAAAAATATAAATAATTATAAAAAATTATAAAAATTATAAAAATCATAAAAATATAAAAAATATAAATAATTTTTAGCATAAAAAATATAAATAATTAACAGTCTCAAGAGTTCAATCAAATTCGAATTAAATCTAATCGACGATAAACTTGTCAAATCACCTTTGTTTTAACGTAAATAAAATAATTGATATTTTGCTGCATAATAGACAAGAAGAGAGATCAAAGTAGATATAACAAATTATAGTTACAGTTTAGAGTTTAACAACGAACAATTCGACTTGTTGTCTTACATTTATTTTAATCAGTATAGATTAACTTTAATCTCGGTTTACTCTTTATCTTTTCGTAATTCCTAAAATTAAAAAGATAAAAAGGAGTTATCAAACCGAGATTAAAGGTCTATCTAAAATAAATCTATATTGAAATGGATATTAATCCACAGCGATGTCGAATGCAGAATTATAAAGATGCAAGAGCCTGAAGGGCGAACAGGAGCCGCATGTGGCGGCACGTCAAAGGGCGGTGCACTCTCGCTCATGAATCACGAAAGAGAAGCTTGACGATCGCGCCATTGCGCACCGATCGTTGCATCGACATTAAATGCTCCGTGATTCGGGGTCGCAATGTTGAACCAGACATCGCGCACGAACGCATAAATGCATATTCGATGCATTTCGAGCGCCCTGCCTCGTTTGCATCCTATCGTTCATCCTTGTCCTTCTTTTTCCCCTCTCTCACTCTCTCTCTCTCTCTTTCCAACCTCGTCACACGCACGCACACACGCGCACGCGTATCCTAGAAGCGCGCGTACACGCGTACACACGCGAGCCCGGTCATGTCGATGTGTGCGTGCGGGCTGCGTAACGGTAGCCTCGAACCCAGACGCCTTTGACGACGACGGTGCCGAGGGGACAAATACCGATTTGTCTAGAATCGAGAATCTAGAAACGCGGGAGATTAGGTATCTCGAATTATACGAAAGAGAAACGTAATCCGTAAATCTATCGCCGCGAATTCACGTACTTTAGCGCGCGGCATCGGGTAAAACGGAGTCGAGTACCACGGCGGTACGAGTGGCGGCGCTGACGTCGCCGCGGCGGCAGCGCTGGGCGCGAGGCTACGGCGAAGAATCCGTATGCGCATGTCACTTCACGGCACGGTCTCTTTCTGTCGTGGCACTTGGAGGTGAGTGGTTGCTTGTGTTTCGCGCACCGGGCCGCTATCCGACGAATCTCATACCGAGGATAAAGCATCGGACGACAGGTACGGGATAGAACAACTGCCGAGGCTACGGCGTGCTGTGTTGTGCAAATAGTTTCTCGATCTCGTCGCGGCTTTTCGCGAGAATCCTTTCCGACATGATAAAGTGCCGCATGGCCGGTCGGTCGGTCGTGCCTTTTTCCATTCGTACGTCCGTCCGTCCGTCCGTCTGTCCGTTCCTGCCGGCTGTTAGAACGCGCGTATATATCGGCGTGCCTGCGACGGGAATTGTCCCGTCTCGAGGGGCTCATCCTCGGGCGCGGGGACGGGATCCTGGATGAACGCTAAAGAAACGCCGGTTACGAGCCGGCGACGGACGCGTCCGAGGTCGCCGAGACGAGCAGCAGACCGGATGCGCTATGGCGGCCGCGCTTGTCAGAACGCTGGAACTCGTGGCGCGTGTTCTCCATTCTTCATTTCCTCGGAAGAGAGTTCTGCGCGCCGATTGGCGATTCTCGCTTGCACGTCTTTTTTTTTCTTTTTTTTTTTAGACGACGAAAAGTAGCGATTTTTCCGGCAGAACGCATCTGGCTACGGCGAGACCTAGCAAACCGGAAACGCGAGGTTAAAAGTGCTCTGTCTCTCTCCGTCTCTACCTCCCTCTCTTTCTTGGAGAGCCGTGAGTCCGCTCGGAGGCCGTGTGCAACGCACGACGGTTTCTGGAATGTACGAGATCGATTTTTGAGACTATCGGGAAGATTACGAGGGCTCTCCGCGTAGGAGTTTGCCGGCGTTTCTCCGGAGCCGGTTAAGTCAATTTCGGAAAAACCAACTTCGAGTACCATTCATCTCCAAAAAACCGTACATAAATCGGAATTCACGGTCTGGAGAAAAATCATACGCGATTAATTGTAAGAAAAAAAAAAAGAACAAGCCGAGGAATCTCGGTCGATCTCGAGTCTCTTGTCGATAGATAATTGGCGTGTGGAGAGAAAGAAACTGGGCGTTATCTCAATTCGCGCAGAGATGGCGGAGGACTGTTCCGAGAAGCGATCTGTCGCGATCAACGGACTCGAAACGATCAGTTTCGTGTGAACGGCGATAATCTCGTAATTCCATCTCGCTCCTCGCAACTTGGAGGATCGACTGTAATTGACATCCGGAGTCACCGAGCTTCTCCGTAATTTTCCACGCACGGTTGCGAACCGCGAAGGATATAGCATATTTGGCCACCTGATCGGCGACCGCCACGTTTTCGTCGTTAATCGAACGCGAATCTCAATCCATTCGGACAACGACGAGTCGCAACAAGGGAAAGGGAAATGGGGAAAAAAGTAATCCGTAACGTGGCATCGTACACGATGCCGAGCGTCGCAAAAATCGTGGCAACAGCGCGCCGCTCCTCCTCATCATTTACAAAATGGCTGCCGGCTGCCATTCTCGAATATTCACGTTCGGCCACGTGGACGGCGAACAAAGACCGTCGAGATGCCCCGAACGTTCCGATCGGATCCGCGCGCTCGAAATGCCTTCGGAAATCGTTGCGACATCTTGCGCAACGCGCGGCCGGCGTGACGATCCTGAAGCGCGAATCACGGGAGAGATGATTCGTCGTGGAGCATTCGTGTTCCATATTGCGTGCCGCGATTATCGATTAAATCGGTATGAATTGTCGGATAGTTAATCAATGCTCGAATTCAATTATTGCATATAATGCGATAATAATAAAAAAAAAATTTATTCTTTCGCTTTTGCACTTTGTTTTAAGCTATGCCTTTGTTTTCAGAGTACTAGAGTACTAGAGAACTAGTATTACCTAAAACTACAAAATGGGTAAAGAGAAGATTCACATTAACATCGTCGTTATTGGACACGTCGATTCCGGCAAGTCCACCACCACTGGTCATTTGATCTACAAATGTGGTGGTATCGACAAGCGTACTATTGAAAAGTTCGAGAAGGAAGCCCAGGAGGTAATGTATTTTGCTGTGCAACAAAAGCGTACGTTATATAGCACTCGATATTATTAATGTTGCTAATAGTGTTAATTCATAACATGATTCATATGACAATGATGATACATTTCTTTCTCATTCGCGGTTTCCACCTGAGGATTAGCTTCCTTTGACGGCCGAGAATGTCTGAATGTCATTTCAAAATTTTTTAATAATCAGAGTAATTATTTCCTGAAAAAGTTTTTTCCTTCTCTTTAAAATAAAAAAATACAAAATTTTAGGAATTGTCAAGAAATTTTAAATTTTTTAAATGTAGATAATGTTGCTAATCAATCATGAAAAGTTTTTAATTTTACCTGGAAATTTTAAACGAAAGTATCTAGAAAATCTGAGAATTTTTTTACATATTTAAATAGACGTTCTAATGATATTAAAATGTTAAAGTATATCCAATAACGAAAAAAAAATAAATGTAAGAATGAATTAATAAAATTGTTTTTTAGATGGGCAAAGGTTCCTTCAAGTATGCCTGGGTATTGGACAAACTCAAGGCCGAGCGTGAGCGTGGTATCACCATCGATATCGCCTTGTGGAAATTCGAAACTTCTAAGTACTATGTAACCATCATTGACGCCCCTGGACATAGAGACTTTATCAAAAACATGATCACCGGTACCTCGCAAGCCGACTGCGCAGTGCTGATTGTTGCCGCTGGTACTGGTGAATTCGAGGCCGGTATCTCGAAAAATGGTCAGACTCGCGAGCATGCCCTTCTCGCTTTCACCCTCGGCGTCAAACAATTGATCGTCGGAGTTAACAAGATGGATTCCACTGAGCCCCCGTATTCCGAGACCCGATTCGAAGAAATCAAGAAGGAAGTCTCGTCATACATCAAGAAAATCGGTTATAACCCGGCCGCTGTAGCGTTTGTACCTATCTCTGGCTGGCATGGAGACAACATGTTGGAGGTATCCTCCAAGATGCCATGGTTCAAGGGATGGACTGTAGAACGTAAGGAGGGCAAGGCTGAAGGTAAATGCCTTATTGAAGCTCTCGATGCCATCCTGCCGCCTACTAGGCCAACCGACAAGGCTCTTCGTCTTCCCCTTCAGGTAACATCCAATCTTTTTGCTGTCGTGATTTTTTTCATGCAAATAATTTTACGTGATGATATTTTTGTAACATCATTCGCGGTTTCCACCGGAGGATTTTCAATCCGTTGATGGCAAGAGTTCGTCTGATTCTACGAGATATTAAATGAATTATTAATTTTATTAGATTGAAATAATAATGTTCTCTTATTTATAATTGCAGGACGTATACAAGATTGGTGGTATCGGAACAGTACCCGTCGGTCGTGTCGAGACCGGTGTACTGAAACCCGGTATGGTCGTTACCTTTGCACCCGCTGGGTTGACCACTGAAGTTAAATCCGTCGAGATGCATCACGAAGCTCTTCAAGAGGCGGTGCCTGGTGACAATGTTGGTTTCAACGTTAAGAACGTGTCTGTTAAGGAATTACGTCGTGGATATGTTGCCGGAGATTCCAAAAACAATCCGCCCAAGGGTGCCGCTGACTTCACCGCACAGGTATGCTCGTTATACTTGATTATCCTAGTTTTATTATTCTCTTGGACACAATGATGAAAAAAGTAATATATTTCATTCGTGGTTTCCACCAGAAGGTTTCTTATGATGGCTGAATACGTCTGAGTGTCTTGATTTAAATATTAAATTTAAATTCTATTAACTTTCTAAAATATTATTACGTGAATTATGAACATATGATTAACATAATTATCCGTTTGATACAGGTCATCGTGCTCAATCACCCCGGTCAAATTAGCAACGGATATACGCCCGTACTGGATTGCCATACTGCCCACATCGCTTGCAAATTCGCTGAAATTAAAGAGAAGTGCGATCGCCGTACTGGCAAGACCACCGAAGAAAACCCGAAGGCCATCAAGTCTGGCGATGCCGCCATCGTTACCCTGGTGCCCAGCAAGCCTATGTGCGTAGAGGCTTTCCAGGAGTTCCCACCCCTGGGACGTTTCGCTGTCCGTGACATGCGTCAGACGGTAGCTGTCGGCGTCATCAAGGCCGTCACCTTTAAGGATCAAGCGGGCAAAGTCACTAAGGCCGCTGAAAAAGCCCAGAAGAAGAAATAACTATTGTAATAGTTTCCGTGCATACACCGATAGTTTTCGTGCGAATATGCCACCGGGTGGGCACTGGCATACATCAGCCGACGTAGCTCACCCTCCCTCCTCGTACGATTCATGGGAGACGAATTTTACAGCATCACCGCCATCAGTAGCAGAGCTTCCTGTACAGCTGCGAACTTCCGAAAATGAGAAAATGATGCAGTCGCGAAGATTGGTTCTTCGCACGTGCGAGGTTTTGCGATTACCGCACTTCCTCGGCGTACGGACATTTCGTTTGTCGAAACGGCTACTCCGTCACTTTTTCCACCGTAAAGAGTTTCGTAGGAAAGGAAATGCAGCTCGGCAGGATGATGTCTACCGAAGAGACGACGCATGTTATTTTCGTCTCGCAGGAGTACGCGAGGAGGGAGAGCGAACTTCGCGCGAGCTATCTAAAGAAAAAAAAGCGTACACCTACCAACTTTCATAACATCAACATAATTTAGCGCGGCTTAATTATATATTTTCTAATTACTATACGGAAATAAATTCTGTATATATTCGATACTCGAGAAGAGACATGTCATTATTACTCTTCGACATCTTTTAAAAAAAACGCCTCATTTGTCGCTCTAACATCTACGGTAGCTATACGATTTGACCAGAAGTAAAATGAAATACATCTCGCGGCGATGTCAGTATCCTTTTGTCTTCTTGGTAGTTTTTTTTATATTAATCTCGTTCAAACTAACTCAGAAAGCTTAGAATAGAGAAAAAACAACGGTAGTAAGCCTTGACAAAGATAGATTTTGTTGGGATATGGGACCTGCTGTTTTCTCTAATTATCTTTCTATTCGATTATAGATAAGACATTCAAGTATTCTGAAGAGAAAGAAAGAAAAACTTTTCTACGAAATATTCTTTTTATTGAGTAACGTGAAACAAGAAGTGCGTGCACAAGAAAATGACACAATGACTCGGCATCCTTCACCTTCTCGCGATTCTATAAAACGACATTGGTTAACCATTTTCTGTACATACATATAAATACCAGCGATGACGAGTAAGAGCGAAAATAAAGAAGCTGCGGAAACGAGAGATGCCGGTGATTCACTATCACCAATTCATTTCCTAATTTTCCTTTAAATGTTACATCGGCATTTCTACAAAGAGAAACAGATAAATATATTCCAAAAACAATAGGCGTAATTTATTTAGTAGCATGTATGAAACTCGCGATGGAAAATAGAACAGAAATTTTTTTTAATTGCAATGTACAATAAACAAAATAGAAATTAATAAGAAGTAGCAACTAACCAATGTTTCAATCCTGAAAATTTTTATGTACAAGAATGCAAATCTAAACTTTCAAAAATTAAATGGAATAACTTTGTTTTACTCCAAGATTTCCTAAATTTCAAATCCAGAAATGAACAGAAGTCTTAAATTCCAAAAAAAGAATGAAATAACTATCAGAAGAATATGATGATCAGACTAGAATTTATGAGCGTTTTAAAAATTTCTAGTTTTAAATGTAAAGATTACGCCAGAAAATATTGACAAATTGGGGATTATGATCAGATAATAACATAATAGAATCAAAATATCAAAAGTTAGGAATACAAAAAAAAAATGGTTTGGAAATTCAGCAGACGGAAGTTGAAAGTGACCATTCCGGCGTTTTTCATGGGACCATCGAACTATTCACCAATATTCATTTTTAAATTTGCGACTCGTTAAATTTTCAAGTTTTTTAAAATAAATACTTCATAGTGATGAAAATAGCACCAACCACGTTAAAGAAATTTATATTAATTCATAAAGATTAATCATGTTACATTCACGAAGTGCACGGAACAGAATCACGAAATTGTGGACTTATCTGTATTATCTCCCGAATAATTTTTGCGAACATGGTTATGTAGCTCGACGTCCACGTGGACATGTGGCGTATCACCTAGCGATTATATCAAAATTATGACTGTGCCCACTCTCAGACTTCTCTCTGCTCATAGCGAGACGAATGGGATCGCAATCGGTATGCCAGCATGAGCGTTCGAGTACGCAGGTCCAAACGTGATTCAATGTATCGAAACGTTCATGAGCATACGTGTCTCTCCGGGCGTCGGGAAGAGAAACAGAAAGGAAGAAGAATTGATGGAAGGTACAGGAGGCACAGCCGACAGAAATCGATCCGTTGATCACGTTGCGTTACTTTGCAACATACATTTTCCCGACCAGCCGCACCCTAGTTGTTGCCATCGAGTTCACCCGAGTTCTGCTATGTCGAGGTTAGGGACTGTTTACCTGTCAAACTTGCGACGTCGGGGGGAAACGTAGGCGAAACATGAGAGAGATCTGAGGACGGAGTGACGGGACGCTCGCGCGGAGATCATGTTTTTCCCCGTAGGATGGCCGCGGGTTCTCAACACCTGCGAGCAGGGCAGGATAAACGCGGTGGTGTGCAACAGAGACAAAATCATGTTCGCCGTCCTCACCGCGGATGCCCTCGTCATCTGGTACTGCAAGGCACGTAATCAAGGCCAAGAGTAATATGCCTTGATTCATCCAAGTCATAATACCGCAAACTTTACTAACCGAGATTTTATTAATGCTGATAGGATTAGATACCTTTTGTATGATTTTCTAGATTGTAGATGATATTTTGTACATGGCAAGAATATAAAATTTTATAATCTGTACTGCTAGACCAGTATAAATTTCAATATGATTATCTAGTAAACTTATTCTATACATAGCTTTCTGAAAACAAATTTTATAATATATGCTATAAATTTTGATCGGCGCAATGCTAGCAAAAATATAACAGAATCTGCTGATAAAATATATGATGACAGAAGTTGAGCAGAGTCTATTATTTCATATTTTGAATATTTAAAGAACAAAAATAATAGTTTGTAAACAGTAAGACTTTAGCAATAAACAAGTTGAGGATTATAGAGAAACATAGAATTATTTAAAAATTCTTAATTTACTTACTGCTTAAATTTCATTATTTATATTTCTCTATAATATTAGCCTAACAAGTCTTACTCGATTCTTGCTGAGATTCTGAAAATAAAAATTTAATGCATAGTTGATTTAAATTTGTCATAATATTCTACTTTTTAAAATATATACTTTAATTCTTTATATCTTTTAATTATATTTTGTACATGTGTCAAGCTTCTTTTTATAGTTTCTTATGTTTTTATATTCAGTAATTTTTAAAGTACAATTTATATTGCAGCCTTGTGTACCAATTGTATTTAGCAGACGGTCTACGAATTCTTTATTACAACACGGTGAGAATGTCTTGGTACAATGGAGACCAGATTCGAGTATGCTGGTTATTGCAACGTCAGACAGTTATCTATTGTTCTACCGACTCTCGGACAACAGTGCAGAGAGTCGAGGACTTTATGAGCAACGAGATTCACCAGTTACCAGCTTAAAACGGGATAGTGCAGAATTATTTATTAAAGAAGTCATTCCATCCCTCGTTCTAAGCTTCGTAAGTTCCTTAATAATTTTTCATTGCCAAGCACTATGAAATCAACGATAAAAAAAAGTAAAAAGAAAATTTAATTGCAACTTATTAGCTGATTGATTAAATCATCTGGTTCCTCGACATTGCAAATGGCAATTAAATTTTTTTTCGCTTGTTTTACAGGAAAAGTCGGCTTGGATCGATGGTGGGATCAGTTCGTTAGTTTGTATACGAGACGAGCTTATGATAGCGACCAAGACTAGCCATGTGGTGCGCCATAAATGGGATGGCACTATGAATCGCGATTACTCTTTAGACTTGAGACGTATACCGTTCAGTATTGACCAGCAGATTTCTACAGTGGCTGTACCACTTACGGAGAACAACATTTACGTTACTGATATTGAATATTCGCCTCTCGTTGGGGGTTTTGCTATTGTGCTTAACAATGGCAAGGCTGCGTTTCTCACTGCTCAATCTTTGAAATTTGATCCTAATCAAGTGCAGGGAATTTGGGCTCAGGATGTGGATGATGCTACTTGTGCCGCTGTTAATCATAAATATCGATTAATTGCCATCGGTAGGCAAAAGTAAGTCAATTTCACAGTACCGTTCTTGAATTTATAAATGTCAATTTCTTTAATCAACAAAATTTAATATAATTTTTTGAGATTATTTAATTCAAATTAATACATAAAATGATATTTTTAAATTTACATACATATATGGCTTATTATAAAACGCAATTATAATTTTTATATCTGCAAGATATTGTTTATGCTTCAAATACTTTAATTTGCAGCTCTGAAGGTGTCGTTTATTATGTCGATGAAACAACCGGCGGTTTAGAAATGTCGCATACTCTGAGTCTATCTTCCAAAGATTATCCAGGTCGACCAGGTAGCGTTAAGTGTCTTAGATGGACGCCCGACAGTTGCGCTATTGCTCTGGCTTGGGAAGGCGGCGGCTTGGCACTGTGGAGTACCTTTGGCGCTTTGTTGCTTTGTAGTTTGAAGTGGGATTACGGCCTACGCGTGGACCTGACGCATGATAATCCTTTGCATATCCATACAATGGAATGGTCTGCAGAAGGTTATCAGTTATGGATGCTGCGAGAATCTCCAGGATCTCTGATTATCAACGAAAATGGTAACAAAGCGACCAATTTAAGTCGCTCTCTCATCCAATTGGATTTCGCTAAAAGTCCTCTGACCATTAACCCGTGCATGGGCCATCACGGACATCTGTATCTTCAAGGCGAGGATAGACTGTATTTAAATTTAGGTGCTGGACTATCTTCGACAGCTTCGGGTTTTCATCTTACCCCCGAAATGCCCAATGATAGTATGCTTCAGACACTCGCTGGCTGTAAACAGTGGCTCGTTGTGCCTATTCCGACTGCGTACAGTGGTTCTAATTGGCCAATTCGGGTATATATAATAGTACCACATTTTCGATTTTGTTAATTATGTAGCAGTGCAAATAATTTTATTGATTACATAAAAATATTATATAAAAAAGATTTTATAAACCTTTTCCATTTTTCCATAATCCAAATATTTTTGTATACTATGTGTTGATTATGTATACCATGAATATATTCATATTTACAGTATACTGCAATAGACAGCGAGGGTATGAGTCTTGCAGTAGCCGGTCGAACAGGGTTAGCACATTATTCGCTACCCTCGAGAAAATGGAAGTTGTTTGGCAACGAGAGCCAAGAACGGGACTTTATAGTAACTGGTGGACTGCTATGGCATAAAGGATATCTGATAGCTAGCAGTTATTCTATATTAGACGATAAAGATGAGATTAGAATTTATCCTCGCGATACTCGGCTTGATAATAATTACGTTAAGAGCGTCAGGATGCCCTCGCAGGTGTTATTATTGAATACGATGAAAGACAGACTTTTAACTTTCTGTGCCAATGCTCAAATTAGTATTTACGATATGGTGTTGCAAAATAATGTGGGTAAGTAATAAAATTTCTTGCTTTTACACGTGAAGTCGATTTTAAAAAATTTTAATCAGACTTTATTAAATGAAATGACTGTTATTATTTTAGAAGCTGGCGGTATCGAGTTAACGAGAATACAAACCGTGGACATTAGTGGTCTGTGCGTACATCCCGCTTGCGTGGTTAGCACCACGTTGACATCGATTCGCGCGGAGACTGCTGGTAGTCACCCTCATCCTGAGAGTCTTTTATTGAACGTATCTGGACGTCTTCTTATGGTCCAACGTGAACATTGTACCGATAATTCAGAAGTTCTCTTTACTTGTGGTGCACCGACGGTATTAGCATCCTATGTCGAAAATGTTTGGGTGCCGTCGCGCTCAAGAAGGGACAAGCCACACTTAACCGAGGCTCTATGGTTGTTCTGTGGAGCTCACGGCATGCGAGTTTGGTTGCCGTTATTTCGTAATCATCAAGAGAAAGCACATGCTTTTATGAGCAAGCGGATAATGCTACCATTTCATCTGCGCATTTATCCATTGGCAATTCTCTTCGAGGATGCGATTCTACTCGGAGCCGAAAACGATACCGTGCTGTTCACATCGGATACTAACTCACCCTTTTCACTGCCCTTCAATTTATTGGAACTTACGGTATTTTGTTTCTAAATTTAGATAAATATAAATAAGTTTAATAGTATATAATATAATATATTAGTTAAAGTGATATTGCTATTTTTTTAAGAATTTATTAGCTAAATATTTTATCTTAAGAATCGCGAAATAATTTCTAGAATATAAGAATTTTATTGTTCTATTTTTATTATCTCTAATTATGTCGCTCAAATATAAGCATAACATAAGACTTTATATTCTAGAGTCAAGTGTATCTACATCAAATTCTACGTCAGCTAATACACCGAAATTTGGGTTATCATGCATGGGAAATAGCGCGTTCGTGCTCCGCATTGCCGTACTTCCCGCATTCGCTAGAACTACTGCTTCACGAAGTTCTCGAAGAGGAAGCGACAAGCAAGGACCCTATTCCGGATGCTCAATTGCCGTCCGTCGTGGAGTTTATCCGCGAATTTCCCGGTGTTTGGGCCAGAGCTGTCGTGCAATGCGCTCGCAAGACCGAAATCGCACTTTGGCCGTATCTGTTTTCCGTTGCCGGTCCACCAAAGAAGCTGTTACAAGATTGTTTGCAACGTCAGCAACTTGATACCGCCGCCAGTTATCTGATAATTTTACAAAATTTAGAACCATCTTCTGTTAGCAGACAGCATGCTACATTATTGTTAGACGCAGCACTGGAGCAAGGTAGATGGGAACTATCGAGGGATCTTGTGAGATTCCTCAGAGCGATAGGTAAATATTCCTACAAATTATATTATCTTTATAATATAAATAATTTTATATGTATTTATAAAATTAATAAACTACTTTTATAAATTTAGATCCAAATGATGTGGAGTCACCACGTACATCGTGGAGTGGCAGTGCTAAACTGGTAGGTCCTCCCCAAACACCACCTGTTTCTCCACATGAGGATGACTTGTCCTTAGTTTTGGGTACTATGCAAGTTTCGAGGAGTCGCAGTTATAGTACCACAGTTACGCCTAAAGTGCAATCCGATAAAGACGTCGCGCCGTCTTCTATGCTCGAGAAAACCCGGAACGTCGTTATGAGGCGAAAGAAATCGGTACCGACAGTGAAAACTAGTGAGAAAACTGAAAATAAGTAAATATTCCGTTTTATACCTTATTCAAAGGCAAATGATATTTCAAAGTTATATTATAAGAATATGTAATATTTGAAATTCAGAATTAAAAACAATATTTATTCTTATAAATTTTAAAGTTACAAAATTTATATTTTTTGACTTAATTGTACAACAATTATAAATATTTCTTCTCTGAAAATATCTTTATTATAAATTTTTGTCATCTAATTTTTTATTTATATTAAATAATTACATATAGTGTATATTTATATATATAACATTAATTGTTAGCAGGACAATCTTTTTTCATAGCTTTTGATAGAACTAATTAAACTTGAATTTTTTCAGGGAAGGATCGGCAGAAGAATTTTTCATTGATGTCATTTTACAACGTCATGCCCGACGGCTGCTTTCAGCTCGCCGTCTAACCGATTTAGGTAGATTCGCGGCACGTCTCGATTTCCATCTAGTAACGTGGTTTGCTCGAGAACGTGATAGAGCAGCAAAAATCGACGATTACGTGGCCACTTTGAAAGCAGTCCATGAAGACTTTGCATTTCCATATCCGACACTTTCGTTGCCAACGCTGCAGAAATTTCGAAGATCAAGTCTCACCTCTCTGCATTCCATAATATCCGATGACGAAACTTTGTCCCCGAACTTGGTCGTTGATGTACCTGACAGCGGATACACTAGTCTTCCAAGCGGTAGGCCACCGTATACGACGTTGGTCTCACCCGTCGCCAGCTTAGAAACCCAATTTCCAACTGCGGAAGCCAAATTAACGCCGAATCTGATAAATGGTAAGCAATATTCTTCAACATTTTTTTAATAAGCTGCAAGTCTTTAAATTTATGTAAATAGTGAAAAATCTTTGTGCACAGATAATTTTTCTATATATATGATTTGTTATCACAGATGCCAACAGTGTTCTCAGTGATACTAGTACAATCTGGAGAGATGATGCAGAATCCATAGTTGGTTCTGTGTGCTGGGTTTCAGAATCAGTGGGACCCACAGAAGCAAATCCAAACTCATCAACTTCCGCGCCAATTGGTCGAGCGGAAGTACAACTTAGGTACGAATATATGTAAATTTTAACAGAATTAAGTTAATTCTAACAAAATTAGCTATGAATTTCCAAGATAAAAAAATTATAATTGTATGTCTTATGATTATTTTTAAACTTTTACAGATATTTACTACAATTATTTCTTGAAGGCAGTTGTTTAGGATGGGCTGCAGTAGTAGCTACTGTCCTTCGAGATGCGGCGGCAATGGCTAGAACTATCAGAACGGCACATGCACCGATGCAAACTTTTGACTCTATAATTAATCTAAGAGATGGATTACTCACATTGACAAAGTGGTCTCATTCAGAATGGTACATTTTATTATGTATATACCGTTAATAATATATTACTATGTATATTTTTGCAATATATATATATATATTAATTTTTTAAATATTGGGAATTAAAAATCTTAGTATTTACTTTAATAAACTAAAAATTTATTTCTTTTTTGTGAAGATATTTTTTTAAATTTTTAATGTGATTAGTGGTGATTAGGTTTATGAAGTTTAAATTTTTGTTAGAAAATATCGATAATTAATATATTTATATATGTGCAATATTAAATCTTAGAGTTAAAAAATTAATTATAATTTCGATTATCGAATTATAAATATTGGCTGCGTATTTTGATTTTAGTTTGGGATATCGTCCCTTCATGTCCAACATTCAAAGCCAGATATCGTTGTTGAATAGACTAGTGATTATTAAACAACAACAGGAACAAGAACAGATACCGGAAAGCCCTTCGCCGAGCCCAGCTCCGTCTGCCGGTAGTAATCAACGTGGTACTCTCTCTCGCTCGAGACATTCTTCAATTAGTCATGCTTCCAATACGGCTCCACTTGAAGAAGAACGCTCGCACGAATCACTCTTGACCGTCGAGGAATCAGCGTTTCATGGAAGTTACAATAATAATCTCAACGTCACGGAGGACACATCGCCGCAGAGCGCTTGCACAATCTCTTAAGGATGCTTTGTAAAGCTCCGAAAACTAAGGCTGTCCACTTCACCGTGTATTTTATACATACCAATGAATTGTTTTCATTTAAGCCGAAGTTTTATGAAAGATATATTACTCGATTTCACGCACGTAAAGATCCCGTCTATCATATAATTATTTCAAAGAGATTTTATTTTAACTTTAATTAAAAAAGGCCTTGATTGTCCCAATATTGAGGATAATTTTTGTAAAGTTCTATAAAAAATTTATATGAACATCCTCCCTTTAATGTAGGTTGTTCCAGAAGTCCTTATAATTCGAAGAAATCTTGGAAATT